CCCCCAAAACCCCAAAACCCCAAAACCCCAGATTACTGCCTAATAACTGAAAACTAAAATAAATTTTAAAAATGTCATTTAACGATACAAGTAAGATCTTTTGCCACTTTGTAGGTCGGGAAGATATGTAATTAACGAGCTCTTCTAGACCTAAGATTCTCCACGAATTCGTTCTCTCCTGACAAGACCATCGCCGTTTTGGAGCAGAAGATCTCTCTCCTCCAGCAAGAGCTGCAAGAGCTTAAGGAGAGGGAGAGAATGAGGAACAAAATGAATGAAAATGTTATTAAGGCATTGAAGGAAAATTCAAAACATACTGAATTTGAGAAGGAAATGATGAAATTTCAGCTGGATGCATATGAAACTTTACGGTGTTCAAAATTTGAGAAGTTTGCGCCCCATGTCAATGAAACATTTGTATCAAAGCTTCTCTATTGTAAGTGCAAGTTTCTGAATTATTAGCTTCTCCAGAGCCAGTGAAGGAGAAAGAGAAAATATTTCAGAAAAGAAGTAGAAGTTTACACGGTTCCAGATCCCGAAGTCCTTCTCAGCTTCGTCAGAGTATTTCATGAATGAGATTGTCCCAAGGTAAATTATGTTCTAAACCTGGCTGCCCAGGGAACCATCGAGACTCGCATCGTTGCCATAATGGTAAGAATATCAGAAATTTACAAACCAGTCGCTCTCCAAAGAAAAACTTGGGATGTGGAGTGCAGACTAACATCCAAATGAGGGATTTAGAAAACTTTGATCTTTCTGAGATCAAAGTTTTCAAGACTTATGAGAAGATGCTCGAGAACACCTCAAAGCTAATCTGTAAACACTGTTCTGTCAAGCTGAGGCCAGAGAAATTTTATGAGCATATTTTGCTTGGAAACTGACAGGTTAGTTTTGGTCTAAAAAAATTTAGAATCATATCTCTAAGCACTCAAGGAAAAGATCTGAGGTGATAAAGGGAAATGAGATTCAGTATAAGAATAAAGAAGTAGTAGGAACTTGAGGAAATTGGAACTCATTAAACCGGCCCGATAAAGGATCCAGGAAAGATAGCTCACTTATTTCTCAGAAGACCTGAAAATCTAATGCATTGATACAGATTGATCAAAATTCTTGTACAGAATTAGGTAGTTCAAAGGATGAGTTACTCAGATATCTTTCCCTCAACAACCCTAAATAAACTTTCTTCTCTTTCAATCAATAACATGTGAAATGGGGTTTTGGGGTTTTGGGGTTTTGGGGTTTTGGGGTTTTGGGGTTTTGGGG